TGTGTCGGGTTTCTGACGATCCCGACAGCCGCCTTAACCTAACCTAACCTAAGTGCTGCTTGCTGCTGCTTGATAAACGCCTTGAATTGCTCGGCAATCCCCTTGAGCCCCGTGAGCAGACTCTGCTGCGTGGTGGAAATGTCCACAGTTGGGGTGCGGGCGCAGAGGCTTTGCAGCGTGAGGCAGAAAATTAATCCGTTGATAGCCGAACGGGATGCGCTGCGGGATCGCCGCCAGAAGGCCGACAGCCAGCTGAAGAGTATTCAATTGGACATGCTGCAATTGAGCGAGGACAAGAATCTCAAACAGGAATGTGATCGGCTGAAGGAGGACAGTAGCTATTAAATAGGAATGTGACTATAGGACAGTGTTAGGCATACACACACAGACAAAAGAAATGAAAACGAAAGTAAACGAACAGTCAAGGTGCTAGGAGGACCTTTTACAGAAAAAACCATTAGCACCATTAAACCATAAACCAATAGAGATAAATGACCCAAAAAAAACGAGAAGGAACGTGTGAGTCGTTTCTGGGGACACGACTCTACTTATACCCGTACTCAGTCAGTATATACATTATTGAGCTTATGATTTTTTAGAATTTTAGAAAAAAAAAAAATTTTACATATTACATTTTTTTGCTACATCTGCTATCTACATCTACATATACAATGTCTATTCTACATCTAACATGTAGATTGTACATGTTCCATTCATATTCTACATCTCCTCCGCTAGGGGTTGCTCGCGCACTGAACGCGGCAGAGTGTGCGAGCGAGAAGGAAAATGAGTTGCGTTGTCTTGAACGGGAGGGGGAGGGGAAGCAACTGAAAATTAATTTCTTCATTCTGGCTATAATTATGATCCGATCTGATTCAAATTTGGCAGTCTGGTAGATATGGACATTCTCTACGATACTGCGTAGATGGCGCCACAAAAGTAGTAATGTGGCAACCCGGATCGCGGCCCTCTGGCAGGGCCAGCAACAACCTCGAGACGAGATGGCAGCTCCAGCAACGGTCTCTCGACAAGTTAGCAGCTTCAGCAACTACGACGACACGCGACAAGACATTGTAATCAAATATTAAGAAATAAAGAGTTATACTAAACGACAGATAGAGCGTACATTGGCCAAGCCGCCAAAGTGGTGACCCCTACGTTTAAAAACAACGGCAAATGCAAAATCAGCACTATTTTTTGCGTTCTTCGACCAAAAGCAAACCGGCAGAAGACGACAAGTTCTACGACGCAATAAACATGGCGAACACGGAGGCCACACTAAACGAGTTAAGAGAGCAACTGCAGCAACTTCAACTAGTAAACGCACAGCCAACAGCTGCAAATTCTCAAAACTTAGCTCAAATCGTCATCCCAAAATTCAACAAATCGAATCCGACACTTTGGTTCGCGCAACTAGAGCGCCTCCTTAGTTTACACAATGTGGTGCGCGACGACAACAAGTTTGACCTGGTGTCAGTACAACTGGAGGAAGATGCAGCCCGTGCAATCGAAGATCTCATTACTCGGCCACCTACTGACAACAAGTACGACGCAATGAAGCGTCGGCTGCTCGAAACTTTCGGCGAATCAGAGGATTCGAAAATGAGACGACTCCTCCGGGGTGGCGACATGACTGGGAAGAAGCCGTCGGAGATCTTGACTCACTTGCGTCGCTTAGCACCTGCTAGTGGGTTCGAAGCCGTAATACGAAACCTTTTCTTCACTGAGTTACCTTCGTCGATTCGCCCACTCATTTCGGTTTGGGAGGAGAACGACCTGGACCAGCTGGCAAAAGATTGCCGACAAGATGCCCGAAAACAGCGCTATCGACTCAATAGGTGTTATGTCGACTCAACCCAAGCCCGCTGAGCAAAGGCAGCACAGCGTGGAGTCGGTAAGTAGCAACAATCCAAATTTAAAAGACGTTGCTGCTGCTCTGCACATTCTAACGCAGAAGGTGGATAAGCTACAACACGACATGCACGCCGCCAAGAAGCCCAAGGTTCCTCAGCCAGTAAATGGCACGAGCGCAAACAATGATGTCAACAATGCAACCCTTTGCTACTACCACATCACGTTCGGTGATCGGGCACGCAAGTGCCGCCCAGACTGCCGATATTATCAACAGTTAAACTAAGCTGCTACCGCTAACTCAGCTGGTAGGCGGTAGCATCTCAACGACCAGCGACATGTCATCCGGGAATCACGATCACCGACTTCACATCCAAGATCAAAACACTAGTCGGACCTTTCTCATCGATTCCGGATCGGTGGTGTCAGTTATACCCTGCGCCATGGCTCAACACAAACTTAGAGAAAGTAAACTGGAATTGTATGCCGCGAACTAGACTACCATACGAACCTTTGGACATCAGGACCTGGAACTCGACCTGGGCCTCGATCGTTCCTTCAAATGGTCATTTGTCGTCGCTGATGTACAATCGGCAATAATTGGCGCTGACTTCCTAGCACAGTTCCATTTGCTCGTTGACATCAAGAAACAACGTCTTTCCAACGGCACAAGCATATCCGTAATCTCGCAGGATTTTGCTTCGCCAAATGACGATAAAACGGAGCAAGGCGAGCACCTACACATCGACAACATGAACGCATCCGATTCACTTTCAGTTCGCCACTACATAACAACAACTGGAGCACCCGTAGCAGATCGGCCCAGGCGACTCATGGGAGAGAAACTATCTGTGGCTAAAGCACAGATACATCAACTAATCGACAACAAAATCTGCAGATACTCCAAAAGTCCATGGGCCAGCCCGTTGCACATGGTAGCAAAAAGCAGTGGTGGATGGCGGGCTTGCGGCGACTATCGCAAGCTTAATGCCATCACCGTTCCAGATCGTTACCCGATTCCCCACATTCACGATTTTGCCGACCGACTATATGGCAAAAGCGTTTTCACTACACTAGACCTCGAACGAGCATACTATCAAATACCGATGGCCCCAGAGGACATCGAAAAAACAGCGGTATGCACACCGTTCGGGCTAATTGAATTCGTAAAAATGCCATTTGGACTGAACCGATGAGCTTTGCAAACTCAGTAGGAGCAGGTGCAGCTCAGTCATACGCTCCCTTACGGGACATTGGCTAATAGGCACCCATGCTAACATTCTGGGTGGGACAACGGATAACATAGAGTCTCACGAGGGAACGATCGATGCGGTATCACAACGGGCCGAAGCCGGCCTAGGTGTGTCGGGTTTCTGACGATCCCGACAGCCGCCTTAACCTAACCTAACCTAAGTGCTGCTTGCTGCTGCTTGATAAACGCCTTGAATTGCTCGGCAATCCCCTTGAGCCCCGTGAGCAGACTCTGCTGCGTGGTGGAAATGTCCACAGTTGGGGTGCGGGCGCAGAGGCTTTGCAGCGTGAGGCAGAAAATTAATCCGTTGATAGCCGAAAGGGATGCGCTGCGGGATCGCCGCCAGAAGGCCGACAGCCAGCTGAAGAGTATTCAATTGGACATGCTGCAATTGAGCGAGGACAAGAATCTCAAACAGGAATGTGATCGGCTGAAGGAGGACAGTAGCTATTAAATAGGAATGTGACTATAGGACAGTGTTAGGCATACACACACAGACAAAAGAAATGAAAACGAAAGTAAACGAACAGTCAAGGTGCTAGGAGGACCTTTTACAGAAAAAACCATTAGCACCATTAAACCATAAACCAATAGAGATAAATGACCCAAAAAAAACGAGAAGGAACGTGTGAGTCGTTTCTGGGGACACGACTCTACTTATACCCGTACTCAGTCAGTATATACATTATTGAGCTTATGATTTTTTAGAATTTTAGAAAAAAAAAAAATTTTACATATTACATTTTTTTGCTACATCTGCTATCTACATCTACATATACAATGTCTATTCTACATCTAACATGTAGATTGTACATGTTCCATTCATATTCTACATCTCCTCCGCTAGGGGTTGCTCGCGCACTGAACGCGGCAGAGTGTGCGAGCGAGAAGGAAAATGATTTGCGTTGTCGTTGGCGGGAGGGGGAGGGGAAGCAACTGAAAATTAATTTCTTCATTCTGGCTATAATTATGATCCGATCTGATTCAAATTTGGCAGTCTGGTAGATATGCACATTCTCTACGATACTGCGTTTTTAGTTTTATCGTATCTTTAAAATTGTGCCTGCCACAGATTTTCGTCCTTTGTGGGGGCGGAAGGGGGCGGGGCGAAATTTTGAAATACACTTGTAGCAGTGGGATATCACATGAGTCTGGAAACCAAATTTGGTTGCCCTAGCTCTTATAGTCTCTGAGATCTAGGCGCTCAACCAGACAGACAGACGGACAGACGGACAGACAGACATGGCTATATCGACTCGGCTATTGATGCTGATCAAGAATATATATACTTTATGGGGTCGGAAACGTTTCCTTCTCTGCGTTACACACATCCACTTTTACCACAAATCTAATATACCCCTTAACTCTTTTTTGAGTACGGGTATAAAAATAGTGCCGCAAATTCATTTGAAAGGGACGGGATGAAACACTTGCTTGAGGGATGTTTGAATCGTTGTAGGGAACCAATCACATAAGCAGAGAGAGGGATAGTTATTTGATGATTGCTGTCCAGGATTATTGATCCTGGATTTTTTGACAAAGTTAGTTCACATCTTGACCGCTAGATGGCGCCACAAAAGTAGTAATTTGGCAACCCGGATCGCGGCCCTCTGGCAGGGCCAGCAACAACCTCGAGACGAGATGGCAGCTCCAGCAACGGTCTCTCGACAAGTTAGCAGCTTCAGCAACTACGACGACACGCGACAAGACATTGTAATCAAATATTAAGAAATAAAGAGTTATACTAAACGACAGATAGAGCGTACATTGGCCAAGCCGCCAAAGTGGTGACCCCTACGTTTAAAAACAACGGCAAATGCAAAATCAGCACTATTTTTTGCGTTCTTCGACCAAAAGCAAACCGGCAGAAGACGACAAGTTCTACGACGCAATAAACATGGCGAACACGGAGGCCACACTAAACGAGTTAAGAGAGCAACTGCAGCAACTTCAACTAGTAAACGCACAGCCAACAGCTGCAAATTCTCAAAACTTAGCTCAAATCGTCATCCCAAAATTCAACAAATCGAATCCGACACTTTGGTTCGCGCAACTAGAGCGCCTCCTTAGTTTACACAATGTGGTGCGCGACGACAACAAGTTTGACCTGGTGTCAGTACAACTGGAGGAAGATGCAGCCCGTGCAATCGAAGATCTCATTACTCGGCCACCTACTGACAACAAGTACGACGCAATGAAGCGTCGGCTGCTCGAAACTTTCGGCGAATCAGAGGATTCGAAAATGAGACGACTCCTCCGGGGTGGTGACATGACTGGGAAGAAGCCGTCGGAGATCTTGACTCACTTGCGTCGCTTAGCACCTGCTAGTGGGTGCGAAGCCGTAATACGAAACCTTTTCTTCACTGAGTTACCTTCGTCGATTCGCCCACTCATTTCGGTTTGGGAGGAGAACGACCTGGACCAGCTGGCAAAAGATTGACGACAAGATGCCCGAAAACAGCGCTATCGACTCAATAGGTGTTATGTCGACTCAACCCAAGCCCGCTGAGCAAAGGCAGCACAGCGTGGAGTCGGTAAGTAGCAACAATCCAAATTTAAAAGACGTTGCTGCTGCTCTGCACATTCTAACGCAGAAGGTGGATAAGCTACAACACGACATGCACGCCGCCAAGAAGCCCAAGGTTCCTCAGCCAGTAAATGGCACGAGCGCAAACAATGATGTCAACAATGCAACCCTTTGCTACTACCACATCACGTTCGGTGATCGGGCACGCAAGTGCCGCCCAGACTGCCGATATTATCAACAGTTAAACTAAAGCTGCTACCGCTAACTCAGCTGGTAGGCGGTAGCATCTCAACGACCAGCGACATGTCATCCGGGAATCACGATCACCGACTTCACATCCAAGATCAAAACACTAGTCGGACCTTTCTCATCGATTCCGGATCGGTGGTGTCAGTTATACCCTGCGCCATGGCTCAACGCAAACTTAGAGAAAGTAAACTGGAATTGTATGCCGCGAACCAGACTACCATACGAACCTTTGGACATCAGGACCTGGAACTCGACCTGGGCCTCGATCGTTCCTTCAAATGGTCATTTGTCGTCGCTGATGTACAATCGGCAATAATTGGCGCTGACTTCCTAGCACAGTTCCATTTGCTCGTTGACATCAAGAAACAACGTCTTTCCAACGGAACAAGCATATCCGTAATCTCGCAGGATTTTGCTTCGCCAAATGACGATAAAACGGAGCAAGGCGAGCACCTACACATCGACAACATAAACGCATCCGATTCACTTTCAGTTCGCCACTACATAACAACAACTGGAGCACCCGTAGCAGATCGGCCCAGGCGACTCATGGGAGAGAAACTATCTGTGGCTAAAGCACAGATACATCAACTAATCGACAACAAAATCTGCAGATACTCCAAAAGTCCATGGGCCAGCCCGTTGCACATGGTAGCAAAAAGCAGTGGTGGATGGCGGGCTTGCGGCGACTATCGCAAGCTTAATGCCATCACCGTTCCAGATCGTTACCCGATTCCCCACATTCACGATTTTGCCGACCGACTATATGGCAAAAGCGTTTTCACTACACTAGACCTCGAACGAGCATACTATCAAATACCGATGGCCCCAGAGGACATCGAAAAAACAGCGGTATGCACACCGTTCGGGCTAATTGAATTCGTAAAACTGCCATTTGGACTGAAAAATGCGACACAAACGTTCCAGCGTTTCATGGATCAGATCTTCCAAGCGGTTGAATACGTCTTTTGCTACATTGACGACATTCTCATAATGTCCAACTCAGTGGAGGAGCACAGACAACACGTGGATAGGATTCTACAAATCTTAAAAGCGCATGGACTTTGCATCAACGAGAAGAAGTGTCATTTTGCACAACCTGAAGTGACGTTCTTAAGTTACACAGTTAACGGTAATTAAACGGAATTAAACCCCCAGAGGATCGAGTCAAGGCGATCACTGAGTACACTCGGCCACAAACTATTTGCGAATTAGGTCGCTTTCTTGGTATAGTTAACTATTACCGTCGCTGCATACCTCATGCGTCAGAGATCCAGGCGCCACTCAACGATTTGACACGCAACATGAAGAAAAATGACAAACGACCAGTGCAGTGGACGCCAAGCTCGATTAAAGCATTCGAAAATTGCAAAAATAGCATAGCTTACGCCGCAACCCTCGCTCATCTCAGTCTTAATGCAGAACTAAGTCTCACTTGTGACGCCTCCGACACAGCCATTGGAGCGGTACTTGAACAAAACACGAAAGGGAAATGGCAGCCTCTCGGTTTCTTCTCCAAAAAACTCAGCGCTACTGAAAGAAGGTACAGCACTTATGATAGAGGCTATAAGGTATTTCAAATACATGTTGGAGGCCAGGATTTTTGTGATTAAGACTGATCACAAGCCGCTGATATACGCCTTCAACCAGAAACCAGAAAAAGCTTCAGAGAGACAGCTGCGACAGCTGGGGTTCATATCCCAACACTCAACTACAATGTTGCATGTGAGTGGCACTGATAACGTGGTTGCCGATGCCCTCTCCAGGATTAACGCCATCACGATGCCGACGACTCTGGACACAAAAGCTATTGAAACTGCCCAGGCAACGGACACCGAGCTGTCTGAGATATTAAATGGCGACACATCTTTAAAGCTACAAGCGATTCCAGTCGACGATGATATCCTATATTTCGATATGGGAACAGGAACAGCTCGGCCATATATTCCCCAGTCCTTGCGATTCCATGTATTTTCAAACGTACACGGACTGTCGCACCCAAGTGGCAGGTCAACTCTAAGACAAATCTCTCGAAAATACGTGTGGCCGTCAATGCGCAAAAATGTTCTGGAGTGGTCAAGGAACTGCCTCCCGTGCCAACGAGCCAAAATTCATAAGCACAACGCTGTGATCCCGGAAAAGATCACCGTTCCCGATGGAAGGTTTGATCACATACATCTAGACATTGTCGTGATGCCCTTGGTTGACGGATACAGATATTGCCTGACAATGATCGACCGCTTTTCTCGCTGGCCAGAGGCTGTGCCATTAAAGGATATGACTGCAGAGACCATTTCTGAGGCACTATGTACGCGCTGGATTTCACGTTTCGGCTGCCCATTGACTATTACAACCGATCAAGGAGCTCAATTCGAGTCGGCACTCTTCAAATCACTGGCCAATATGCTGGGAAGCGAGCACATTCACACGACGCCATACCACCCCCAGTCAAATGGCATGATCGAGCGTTGGCACAGGTCTATGAAAGCCTCTTTGATGTGCCAACCGGATACACCATGGACCAAGCTGCTTCCGACCGTAATGCTGGGCCTCCGCACATGCTTCAAGGAGGACATTAAGGCATCAGCAGCAGAAATGTTATATGGTTGTACTCTACGCCTTCCAAACGAATTCTTTTACGACCTAGACGCGCCTTCGAACCCACTCGAATTTGCCAGTCAGTTCCGGAAAAGAATGCAGGTGGTGAAGCCAACTCCAACTTCGCATCACAGCACACATAAACTCTTCCTGCTTAAAAACATTCAAAATTGCTCACATGTCTTCGTCCGAACTGATGCGGTGAAACAACCCTTGGAGCCGCCGTACACGGGACCATACCCGATTATATCCAAGTCATCAGACCGGGTTTTCCTGATTCGGATTAATGGAAAGGAGACAGCCATTTCAATCGACCGGCTTAAGCCAGCATTTATAGCAAACGACGAGACCAGCCCTACGGAAGATCAGCAGTCGAATGTGCCGCGGACATATTCAAAGAAAAATCAAACCTAAAGATTTGGCACTTTTCTAGGGGGAGTACTGTGGCAACCGGGATCGCGGCCCTCTCGCAGGGCCAGCAACAACCTCGAGACGAGATGGCAGCTCCAGCAACGGTCTCTCGACAAGTTAGCAGCTTCAGCAACTACGACGACACGCGACATAGACATTGTAATCAAATATTAAGAAATAAAGAGTTATACTAAACGACAGATAGAGCGTATGCCATTGGCCAAGCCGCCAAAGTAAGGATATGGGGCATTGGTATTCGGGGTTTTCCCAAGGTGGCGCCACGTCGGAGAAAGTAAGTTTAGGATCTCGATATTCGAGTAAATTCTCACAAGGTGGCGCAACGTCGGAGAAAGTGGTTTAGGATCTCGATATTCGATTAAATTCTCACTACTTGGCGCTAGTGTTGCCTGCCATCGGATATTCTGCTTAGCATGAGTCCTTTACAGGTGTGTGTATAGGATATGATCTAGGTGTTCATTTAAACAAAAATGTTTTTTAGTGTCAACCATTACATACCTATTAAGAAATAAATTCTTATAGGATCTGTTACTTACATGATCATGCTAAAACACATTCTTTTAGGATATTTATTAACATTACATTGTGAATATATGTAAATGCTTTCAGGATCTAATATTTAGCCAAGCATATGGAAATATTATGTAAAATCATGGTTTTTAGATGGCGTCATAAAGAATGAGAAGACAAAAATTAATCAATTCGACTTATAGAAAAAATACACTACACTCCTATATCGAATGCTCTTTGTGGCGAGTCCAAACCAATGCCCCATATCCTTACTACTTTTGTGGCGCCATCTAGCGGTCAAGATGTGAACTAACTTTGTCAAAAAATCCAGGATCAATAATCCTGGACAGCAACCATCAAACAACTATCCCTCTCTCTGCTTATGTGATTGTTTCCCTACAACGATTCAAACATCCCTCAAGCAAGTGTTTCATCCCGTCCCTTTCAAATGAATTTGCGGCACTATTTTTTTTTTGGGTCATTTATCTCTATTGGTTTATGGTTTAATGGTGCTAATGGTTTTTTCTGTAAAAGGTCCTCCTAGCACCTTGACTGTTCGTTTACTTTCGTTTTCATTTCTTTTGTCTGTGTGTGTATGCCTAACACTGTCCTATAGTCACATGCCTATATAATAGCTACTCACAGCTGCAAGCCTTATCATAAACTAGTGGATTCTAAACGAAGATGGATGACCTCGAAATTATTTTTATAAACTCGCAACCTGAGACAACTATAGATCTGGACACCCAGCCCGACTCCGTGGACCTTTCGCTGATATTCGGAATTAAAACGCAAGAATATATAATGCAACGGAACGTCTTAAGTGATATTATATGGGATGATAGTCTTGATGACCTAATGGCTGCTGCTCCGATTGATGAAATTCAGACATTCAACTTCCCGGATGATGACAGTATATTCGATTTGGTCGATGATAATGACGAAGGGGACCGAAAACGATTCGAGGAACTTCTTCGCGACGAAGATAATGCCGAATTAATAGCTGCGGTAGAAAGAGCCGAGAAGCAATTTTAATAATATTCTTATTTATGTTTAATACAAATAATTTATGTATTTTTCTACAAATAATATATAATAAATACAATATAAATTTAAAACAATATTTATTTTCAATGGGTAGTTTTTTTTGTTACTTTGATTGGTGAAATTTCACTCCACCAAGAGACTCATAGGATTCGTTTAGGTTTTTTTCTAAGGGAGGATTACAAAAAAAGAATAAGTAGATTTTAGGTAGAATGCAGGTACTATTGAATGTATTTATTGGTTGAATTTCACATCATATTAAAACGGCATGAAAGGTCAAGTGTAATGTACATATTTATTTTATTTCTTAATATTTAAGTAGTTATTTAATTGTTTTAATTCTACGTTATGCTTTAATAAAACATGCATATTGAAGTCAAATCGCAGCCAAAACTTTATCGCGCCAGGACATAAGTAACATTGGTAAAATGATGATTTTGATTTTTGATAACTGAAGTTATGAATTTTTAATACGTGTTGTTTCAGTCCATTGCGGGACCTAAAACTTTTTTTCATATAACACAGCTCGCAATGAAATTCACTCATTTCGAATAGCAAATGAACTAAAGTATCTTAAGAGTTAGATGTTCTTATATAGGGTTTCGAGTTATGATCATATGTAATATATAAAAACCTAGCACACGGTCCATTTTTATATATATAATGTTTTCATTTGAATGGTTTATGTACATACGTATACATGTATGTATGTATGTATATAAAGACAGAAAATATAATATTTGAAATCCTATTCTCACATCTGGCTTTTACATAATTACAACTATATACCTAGCGCAACAACCAATCAGCATAGATCTCATTTTAGAAGAAAAGACGAATGAGAGTATAAAAGATCATGTAATCATGATTAAATAATTTAGTATAAAACATTGAGTAGTTTGAATAGTTTCATTTTTATAATGGTATGTAAGCATTTTTTATTTTTGATATATAAAAGGATAATCAAAACTTCATTAAACATGTACATGCATAGGCGTTCCTAGAAACACTCAACGAGATAAAACCGGCGATTGGATACACCAAGGTTGAAGATCTATGTATAGGATTTGAGAACAAGATCAATGGATGTAAACTTAAAAAAACATCATTTGGAACAAAGGTAGTCCTTTATTTAAGTGATAAGGACAATGAGCCGCTTTGGATATTTTTACCTAAAAGTTATGTGACCATATTTTCCACAAAAACACCCTTTAAGATGCTAAAGGAGCATGGAATTTCACATCTTATATATAAAGGAAAAGAGATGACTAGATATAGCACTCCCCATTTCCAATTTGTATGTAAAGAATAAATAAAGAATTCAAGGGATTACTCTCTTATACATAAGAGAAAAGAGACAACTAGATATTCATGTAAATAAAAATAAGAAAACAGGTTAAAACATAAATACATTTGCGAGTTAGAAAGAGATAAATGGTATAGCACTGTTTATTTACAATAGTTATGAAAAGAAAAATCCTAATGATGAATGCGTAAAGGCATGGATATAAAAGAACCACGCTCCTTGAACGATCATCAGTATCAGTTACAAGAAGCCAGTTGAATCATGCACGCCCATCAAATAAAACTTTTTCTTATTCAATTCGAAGAGATGATTTTCGATGAGCATTTGAAAATCCTGGAAAACCTCATGGTTATTTTGGAGGATCTGGAGGAAAAGGAGCTCCAATACTCCATGTTCGGGTTTCACTATAAGCTGTGCCCCTGGAGCGACGACGATGCTACCGATGGACCTGACACATGCCTTTGTCATACGTTACCGGCAAAGAAAGCCCAAGCTGTAGACCTCATGCTTAAATATTATAGATTAAATAACAGAATGAATCCCACTCCAAAAAATAAAATATTTACTTGAAAATATAAATGCATTGTTTTTTTCTTTTTACTTTAAAACTAATTTTTTAAACATTTTCATTATTAGCTTGTCATTATAATTAAAGTCATTTTTCTTAAATTGTTTTAAAAAAAAAATTTAAGGTTTTCTTTTGTCTTTTAAAAATTCCATATAGGATACAGTAATGACCACATGTACTTGAAAAATATCCTTGAAGTAGTTGTTTATTGAATGTAAACTTTAATGAATTATTCCTTAATAATTTTAAAAATTCTTTCTTCTGAGGATATTGACCATAGGAGTAAAAAAATTCAGCTGAATGCTTACTATCAAAGTAAAATGCAACCCAATGCGTTCCTGGACGATTTGAAGAATCTGTGTTAGCTATTATTAAAGCAGGATATTTAGAAATTACTTTTGGGAGCCTATCAGAGGGATAAACTCCTTTACAATTTTTTTTTTGTTTTTGAATGCTTGGAAAGCAAATTATCGATTTGCAATGTATTCATTTTTACAGAAGAACACGTATATTTCGATGTTTATAAATATCAATCATTGAGTCATATTCACAGTATACCAAACAAGTAACTGCTTCAGTAAGAGGTTCCGAAAATCGTCCTTCAGAAATTAAGTTTGAGCAATGGGTTGAATTATAATGGTCTGCAGTTAAGTCAAATGCTAATATAAAACTATTTTTATCATACATTTCCTTTGTAATTTGCAAGCCTCGATCATAATGTCTTATTCCACTTGATCTGAATAGCAAATTATAACCTCTAGAGCTTTGTGCATTTTCAGAGTTCGAGAAATCAAACTCAAGAGCCTGCGATGGTACTTGCACACCATTAACCAATAGATTAAAGCGTTGAATTTTAAAATGTTCAAAATTGAAAGGATTCAAAGTTCCATTGCCAGAATATGATTTGTTTTTTACCATGCAAAAAGTTAAAAAATTAGGAATCTGTCCAATAACTGCATTGTCAATTGATAATGTATTATTTCCTGGGTATATTGTAAATGATTTTACTTGGGCTTTGCTATATGGATAAATAGCATTTTTAGTTTGTAAAACATGATGATGAGCCAATAAAATGCTTGGATTAATAGTTATGTGGTTCATGAAGAGTTGTGCTTCCAATATCTTTAGATTTGATTCAGTTTCAGATTCCATTAAATAAAATGCTGTTAAAAGTTATTCTTAAATCAACATTATTTATAAGCAGTTTTGGTTGATTAAATATATCTCCATTAACTTTTCCAAAAAGTTCAACCTTATTACTGTTTTGAAAAATTTTTTTAATCAAAACGGATCCATCGGTATTAACATATCTACCAGATAATAACACTAGTCAACACGATTTTTCCTCAAGGAACAAAACGAACTTTTTCTTAAAGATTTGGGGCTTAGAAATGGTTTTTTTTTTTTTTTTTTTCTATGGCATAACTTTTTTTTGAAGAATTTTTGAAAACTGTTATTTTTTTTTAAGCTTTTTTCAGAGGTAGCGCTTGTTTTTTTCACATAGCTCTAGTATCTTACGTCTGGTTGTAAAGAACTTTGCTATTTTGAAAAGATAATTAAAACAGCTATAAGTTAAGCCCAAACACTTTCTGATTACAGCTTACCGTCAGGGAAATATAAAGCATTGAAATGCAAAAATGATGATTTTTGTGCGGTATTTTTTACGAAATTTTGACTTTAAAAACTCAGGAAAAGTCGAAAAAAAATTATATCTTGTGTCCTCTATTTTTTTTGTATAGGTGCGTTAATTTGGCGTCGTTTAAGGTATCGATCCTGAAAATCTATGGAGAGACTTTGGAGCTAAAATTCGTTAACTAAACCTAAAATATGGAAAAAATGAACAAAAAATACCTTTTTGAAGGCGGCGGGCCCAACTGCCAATTGGGAACAAAGCAAACGAACAAGGGTTGTACATTTGGTACCTGATCGCGATCCCAATTCCCAATGGGAATTGGGCTCGCAACCTTCGAAATGGTATTTTTTGTTCATTTTTTCCATATTTTAGGTTAGGTTAACGAATTTTAGCTCCAAAGTCTCTCAATAGATTTTAATGAGCGATACCTTAAACGACGCCAAATTAACGCACCTATACACAAAAAATAGAGGACACAAGATATAATTTTTTTTCGACTTTTCCTGAGTTTTTAAAGTCAAAATTTCGTAAAAAATACCGCCCAAAAATCATCATTTTTGCATTTCAATGGTTTATATTTCCCAGACGGTAAGCTGTCATTACAAAGTGTTTAGGCTTAACTTCTAGCTATTTTAATTATCTTTTCAAAATAGCAAAGTTCTTTACAACCAGACGTAAGATACTAGAGCTATGTGAAAAAAACAAGGTACCTCTGAAAAAGCTTAAAAAAAATACCAGTTTTCAAAAATTCTTCAAAAAAAAGTTATGCCATAGAAAAAAAACCATAATTCTTTAAAAAATTTTAAATCCCCATATCTATCAGAAAAAGTCGGTTTGGATCCTTGAGGAAAGAAAAGTTCGATTTTGTCGAGTAGTGTAATTTACCATAGTTAGGATAATAGCCTTGAGTGGTTAAGTGACTTTCAGTGGCGTCACTACCATAGTTTAAAATCGTTTGCAAATACGATCTATAATGATAGTTATTATCACTCTGAGAAACCAATATATTATTTAATATTATATATAATATATATATTATATTATTTACAGACGAACTTCTGAACATTGAATGTAAAATATTATTCACTACTCCAACATTGTCTCCTTCAATGCTTCCATTATCATTTTTTCTTAGTTGTACAACAAGTCTTAAGTAAACACTTGACAGATCTCGATATGTTTCACCATTTCCTAAGCAATCGAATTCAATTGAAGAGGCACTGTCCAATGAAGCTATGGGATTGTATGAAACTTCTTCAGTTCTCAGAATAGAGCTTTGTGTGGGATGTGGTTCAAACAGATCCAATTCGCTTTTCATACATTCTATATGGGTGGTCATTTTGATTTCGAAAAAATATCTTTTATATTTAATATCTTGGAGGATTTTTTCTTTATTGGTCTCGACTGCGTATGTTTGCGTCCTTGTTTAGATGATAAATGAGCTCGTTTTTTCCTAGACCTTCTCTTTTTATTCTTTTTACCTTCACCATTTTGGAATCGTGTAAATTTATTTATTGCTTTATTTGACAGATTTTGCAATGCAATTTTGCTTTGTTCTTGGATAATGTTTCTTAAAGGTTTCGACCAAACTCATTTATTACAGTCTTTCCAGTTTCAGAGGCTTGATTTTTAATAGCGTTTATCCCCGAAAGGAAGAGTGGTTTAATATAATTAAAAAGCCCACTAAAAAAATTTCCAATTCCTCTACCTTGTTGGATAACTCTGGGTGTCACATATAGACTTCCTATATGATTTAACCCACCACCACATTGATTTAAATAATATTGTTGATAAGATCTCGTCATGATGACTATTTCTACTCTGAACTAATTTAGATTTGTACAGTTTTATTTATAGCATTTCGATTCGTTTTCTGAAGTGTAGAGTAATAAATATTGGAACTGTTGAAGATTCAAATGGTACTTTATATCCTTTGGAATCAGTAATTAATATTGAAATTTCCTTTGGTGACCATATTTCAATAGGATAATATTCAATATTTTTGAATTGCATGAGTTGCTCTTTTCCATTGAAATATAATACTCGAAGACATCGGGGTCTCTTGTTTCCTACACATCTTGGTTTAATAATGTCAGTGTAAACTAAAATCAATCCATTTTCAAAAACTTCAGACTCAATTGATTCATTTTCATATCTAAATGTTTCCCCATTTACTATGCTAATAACTATTCGTTGTGGTATTTATTTGTGACTAAATATGAAGAGCAAAAAGATGTCCGTCAAAGGCAGACGGAATACAAATCAAAAAGGGAAACGAGAGAACGCCGCTTCATTGCGACTCATACATACATGTTTATATATGCTGGATAATGCATAACAGAAAGAAAAATAGAGAAGACACAGTGCGTTGTTTAAGTTTACATATTCAACAATAACGAATTCTGTTGTTTCGGTAGATATACTCGAGGAATTATTATGATTGACTGGTGTACATTTATTAAGATATAAGTCTGTGATTCCAACTTCCCATTCGTCATTCATGTTTTCAGGAATATTTACAATGTTTGTAAATGCACACTTAACGTTATCATTAAAGACATTTAACGAATCATTACTGAGTAATGTAACGAAAAACTGTGTTGTAAATGTCATTTTTTGTTTTATGTTCTGCTCCGTTTATTAATTGTAGGAAACCCAATTAATTTTGTTTTTTCCAATTTGCAAAGGCTCTCTGTTTCTAACAGATCTACTCAACTTTTCCCGTCCGCTTACGTATTTCAAGTCTTGTAATGGTTTTGGTTCACTTTTATCCCTCTTAAGTTTTGCTCTTAGTTTTTGCTGCTTATCGGTAAGCTTTACTTTAGACACTGCTTGTATTTTTGAAACTTGAGTGTCTAAAAATGGTGTTTCTAAAAATGAAGTGTCCTTTACTTTACGTTTTTTATGCGTTGACTTAAAAGTTTTTTCAGGGTTTAAATCATCATCGTCGCTGAGATTAGGTAAATCATGTGACTCATTATCTATTGAGAAATCCTTTTTTGGGTTAACATTATTTTTATTGTAAAGAATATCAGTTGTGGGCATTACATCAAACCCGACTGAGTCGTCTTGTGTTTGTGTTCCAATGGTTTTAGATGATGGATGTGATGCTTTCAGACTAGGTCGTACATCCATTGTCTTATTTCTTTTTTTATTTTGATAGTAACACAATTCTTGACGTATTTTGATCCATTTATTATAGTCACTAGTTTTCTTATCATTTAAAATAGGTAAAAATGTTATATTTATTAAATCGTTTTCATTTTCACCTTTTATTAGTTTTTGATAAGCATTCGGACGCATTAAAATTACTTTGCTTAATTGATGCGTATTTCTAAACATTGCTTAATATTTTTCCAAAAATCCCCGAAAGCAATGAACTGATTAGAATTGGTAAAAATCCTCCCTTTTGGATGAGAACTTTTCTCTTGGAATTGATTGAACGTTTTGGACATGAAATATAACGTAATGCATTTTTATACTTTTTGAGAGCATATAGTTGAGATTTTGATATCTTATGATTTCCTTGTAATGTGTTCAACACTATTTCCACTAATGCTTTCACCGACTCAATATCACAATTACTTATAATTGCATTTCGAAGTTTGTTGTTGGCCCTTTTGAGCACATACAATAAATGTTTGTTCGCTTTCAATCGATTTAGATTCTTTTTGTAAACCATTTTCATCAGCAAAGCAAATTGTGTACACAGAATTAAAAATATCTGTTCGAAATCTCAAGAGATCATTTATTCCCTGAGTAAGGTCAATAAGTAAATAACCATGTGGCTCATCTGTAACCTCCTTATATATTCTAAATAGTTCCTGAGAGTTCTCAGGATAAATTTGTCTTGCCAAGCATTGAAATTGCAGTTTATCTCTGGGGTTTTTGAATGCAACGATGTATTTTGTGTTTAGAGAAATATCTCGCGTATGTGATGACTTATGAAATATGTTTTGTGTAACTACTATTACAGATAAGTTCCTGTGGTGAGATCCTCTCGTGAAAAGCTCGCATACATTTTTATTAAATGCACCCATCATCAAGTCATCTAATATTAAAAGAATGGGTTCATTAGCTTCATTTTCAATTGTTTCAGGAATTCCTTTATAGTATTCGATGTTATTGAAATTTGGTTTAGCGTGTTCCTCACCATAACACCACAGTATTCGATCAATTGAAATACTTAGCATTTCATTCCTTTTGTTTATTAAATTTTCTAAAAACGTTGTCTTTCCAGACCCTGAAGGACCACAAATTAGCATTGTAAAAGGATGTATAAATTGTTTAAACATAGCTGATGTTTTTTTTTTTTTAATAAGTTTTATTTATTGAAAACTAGCTGACCCGGCAAACTTCGTACCGCCTAACAGTCAATGAATGTCGTGTTACTTTTTAGCTGAACTAATTTAGGCTTTGATGAACGTAAAACAATGATAAAAAATAATATATTTATATAGGAGTACCTACGATTTGATTTTGAATTATAATATTGAGGTTGTTGAGCTATTGAGATTTTTCAATAGCGTAGAGTTAAATCGACAATTTGTACTTTGATTAATTCACAACACAGTTTGTTTGATTATGTTAGTTTCTTTATTTTCCATGCAAGGCGAGTGGGAATAGAATGGGCAAGAGTTAGCAACAGGCGGACCCGTGGTGGACCGTGTTGCAGCGAAAACAATAATGGGTTTTTGTATAAAAGTTAATAACAATGTAGCAGGTCACTGTGCCAACCGACGATATGTTGTACTTTTATGATGCTAGATTTCGAAGTGTCTCTGCTGCGCAGACGAGCCTCCCTCACAGCCTTCGTCGGCTGACGATTTTCGGGAGGGGGAAAATGACTCAAGAGCGCAGAGTCAGGTAGGCAATGTTGTGAGCTTAGCTCTGCTCTCTTTGCGCTGCCATGGGCCGGCGCTTAGCCGAACATTCTCCCCCCGTTGAAGAGCACGGGTCTTCGACATCATTCTTTGGCAGCATACACAGCTTTGCGATAGCCCTCGTGGTGCTCCCAGTAGCCGTTTTGAGCTCAGCTACCCTGGAAACGCCATCTCTGCCGGCGATCAGTTTCGTCACCCTTCCCAGCGGCCACTTAAGTGGAGGCAAGTTCTCGTTCTTTACGAGGACCACGTCGCCGACGCTGAGGTTAGGCTGCTCAGTCCTCCATTTTGCCCTCTCCTGCAGAAGCGTGAGGTACTCCTCTCGCCAGCGGGACCAGAAAGTCTGCTGCAGGAAGTTGACCTGCTGCCAGCGATCAAGACGATTGAAGTTGAGTCACATCTGGTTCCGCGAAGGTACGGATTGGAGCAGTACCTAAGAAATGCGCAGGTGTTAGCATGTCTAAATCGTCAGGATGCTCTGAAATGGGAAGCAATGGCCTTGAGTTTATTATGGCAGTGATATGGCACACAAGCGTTCTCAGGTCATCAAAGCACAGCAAGGAGCTGGAAGCGGAACGGTAGAAATGATGCTTGGCTGTTTTAACCGCAGCCTCCCAGAGTCCGCCAAAGTGGGGAGAGCGAGGGGGAATAAACCGCCAGTCAATATGATCCGCAACGCAAAACTCCTGAACTTCCTTCATATGCCTTTCTGCCAGGAACAGCTTCTTCAACTCTGCCAACTCGTTCTTTGCTCCCACAAAGTTGGTTGCGTTATCGGACCAAATTTCCCTGGGCCGACCGCGAGTTAAAATGAATCGCTTTAGTGCGCTTATGAACGCTGGCGTCGATAGATCCTGCACAAGCTCCAAGTGAACGGCCTTGGTGGCAAAGCATATGAAGAGGCATATGTAGCATTTGATGGGTGGTCTGGTCCGCACCTCACTCTTATAAAAGAACGGACCACAAAAATCCACACCGGTGACTGAAAAAACGTACGACGCATTCACACGATCCTTCGGCAAGTCGGCCATAATATGCTGCAGCACGCGCGGCTTGGCCTTAAAACATCTGGTGCAGCGATTTACGACGCTGGCCACTGTCTTGCGCCCTCCAATCGGCCAATACTCATGCCGAATAAGTGCGAGCAATGACCGAGGCCCAGCGTGCAGATTCTGCTCATGGACATGCACAATTACAGCAGATGTAACGGGATGACGCCTTGGAAGAATGACTGGGTGCCGTACGTTGAAATCAAGTGATGAATTTTCCAACCGCCCACCGACGCGTAACAAGCCATGGTCATCCAGGAACGGCGCGAGTGACGAGATGGAGCTAGACGACTGCACCTGCTGTTCGTCACGCAGAGTCTTGTAGTCAGGCCACAAATGCACTCGCTGAATCGAACGAAGAAGTATCCGCGTACCACCAACGATGTCAGCTACTGTTAATCCGGACGACCTTTTGCGCTGCAGAAACTTGAATACATATCCAAATGTGCGCTGGATCTTTCCGAAGGAATTGGAGAACTTTCGGCCGTCAGATAAGTCTACGAATGGACAAACTGCAATCAGGACTCTCTTGCGCAACTCCAGTGTTGGCGCAGATTGAATAGACGCTGCTGGCCACAGAGGTTGCTCATCTTGAAGAAAGGGTGGCCCGTGGGCCCAA